CAAGGTCTCTAACATCCAGCAGCTCTGTGATGTCGTCATGGAGGAGTGGAAGAGGACTCCAGTGGCAACCTGTGAAGCTCTGGTGAACTCTGTGCCCAAGAGGGTTAAGACAGTGCTGGAAAATAATGGTGGCCACACAAAATATTGACACTTTATGCCCAGTTTGGACATTGTCACTTAGGGGTGTACTCACTTTTGTTGCCAGCGGTTTAGACATTAATGTTGTGTTATTTCGAGGGGATAGCACATTTACACTGTTGCACAAGCTGTATACTCACTGCTTTACATTGTAGCCAAGTGTCATTTCTTCAGTGTTGTCACATAAAAAGATATACTAAAATATTTATGATAAGTGCCATAATTATAGCAGCAATATGGTTTGTTTCTAGTACAACAAGCCTTACTAACTTCTCCTGATATGATTGTAGTCAATTAATGCCATTAAGGACAGTCCCTGTTCTAACCTTTTCCAAGCCTGCTTGCAACCCTGCAGTTACTGCTTTAAGGTCTGTTGATATGATCCGGTCACTTACTGTTCATCCAGCTGTACGGCATCACAGGGAGGAAAGGCAGTTTGCCATCCTACAACAGGTATTCTTTAAATAGCCCAGCTGACCTCCCTTCTCTGTATAGTGCAGACCAGGCTCTGTTATTAAGCAAAGTGTGGCACCCTTGGGTGGCAGAAAAGCAAGAGCATCCTATCGCTGCTGCTTTGGTTCTTTCCTTTCTTAATCCTACTTGCTTCACTTTGCTACTGCTGTGCCACTCTCCTCTTACAGGACAGCAGCTAGTCTTCCAGCACCTCTTCTTCTTCCTCTTCTTATTTTCCTGTTGGTCCATCATTGTAAAGAAGCATCAGAAGCTAAGACAGGCTGGAACTTTTTGTATTTTAAGGGGAAAGAGTTGGTAGATGGTCTATGCAGGCCAGCAAAGGAGTGGCTGTAAACATGGAAGTCAGTGACAGTGCTTCTCCTCCTGTCTTGAGTAATGGAGTAGTTTGGGTTGCCACTGTTCATTGACTTGCTTGATAACTGGCACACTGAGGCTGAGCAGAAGATTCTGAATTTGAGTGCATTCTCCTCTGTTCTTCAGGGCATATATATATCAAAATGCTGAATCCAATGTAAATCCAAAGATAACAATCTGACCATCATTTCACATGGAAACAACTGATTTCTTTCTGGTTTCTCAGTTTTCCCAATCTCTCTCTCTTTCTCTCTCTGTTGCTTTTGATTTCCATAGGTCATTTACATCCATCAGAAGTGAGTTGATTCCTTATTTGGTTAGGAAGCAGTTTTCCTCTCCTGCATCATTGCTACAGGGGGAGAACATCAAAACGCAAGACCAAAAGAAAAAGGACCAAAACCCAACAGGTTAGTGCAAAAACATCAAATAGAATGCCTACTTCAGCACCTGTAGAAGAAATTGAATCAGAGAATATGCTTCTTGGGCAATGATTGCTGATATAATCAATATATATGAAATAAAATATTATTATTCTGTCTCTTTAGACAAAATACATTTTCCCAGGCAATTCATGTCAGTGTTTCAAAAGCTAGTACATAAAATCAACATGAAACAGAAATCTCTGTCCTCAAGCTTGCAGTTTTAAAACAGAAGGGGCAAAAGGAAAGAAGGATCAAGGAAACTCAGAAAAAGAAGATCAATTTGACAATGCCAGAAACAAGTCTGAGTTCTCAGTTGTAGTTCTGACTAGGAGAACTATGGTTTGTCACAAGAAACCAGAATCTTGATTGTAACAGAAGAGTTCAAACAAGCCATAGCTCTCTATTTTAGATTTGACTAGGAATTTTGATTTGTATAAAAGCGGAAGCTTTACATCTTCTTGCAGCTGTATGAGAGACTGAGACTTGTACAGGCATGTTCAAAGAAGTTGCCTATTGTCCAAGCAGAAGGACATCTCATATTGAAATGACAAGTTGACGTTTCCCTTGCTGAGACCCCAGGTCATGAGTTCTTGTTAATGTAGCACAAAACCGTAGTATTATGTTCCATTTGAACCAACCTCTAATGCTGTTACTGTTGGGGAAACAGAGAAACATGTTCTCAGTGGCCTCAGTTTATTTGGCTGGTTGCAGGGGCTAGAGCTGAGACTTCCTCCTGCAGTCTCAGAGCAACTCACAAGTAAATCAGACATTTCTCTGGCATTTATAGAAAAGTAAATTCCCTGCAGTTACTTCTTCGCTGATCAAGGTTGTTTTCTCCTAACCATGAGGTTAACCAATGAACAAATTGCTACAGCCCTTGTTGTACCCTTGCTCCTATATCCAGGGATAGACTTCCCTGGAGGTGGGGGCAAGACCAACTGTGAACTGTACTACCTCAAAAATATCTGTTTAAGGAAAAATAAAAATTTGAGTAGTCCAACTCTGGGAAAAAGAAATGGAAGGCCTTTAGAAAATTGCCAGGGAGCATCAGAGAAATTAGGAGGGGCCTGGACACTGTAAAATGATGTTCAAGGATATTAGCATAAAGAGATTGGCTCTCAATAGATCTCCTACTTGCTGTTATGCTTTTCAGTCCTGTCTGTTTTCTACAGTGCAAGGAACTATGTATTTAAAAATCAACATTGTAAAAATGACTTGTTAAAATATTCTCTCTGACCTCTGTGTTATGCCTGTTTATATTCTGCAGACATCTATAGCTTCATGAAGGATGATAGTCTCTTTGAACTGGGTACAGACAAAATTTGCTGGAACAATCGTAGAGGAGATGTGAAAGAGTCATTCCATGGAGGGAAAGTACGTTGCTATGTTCACATCATGAAAGATGGGCTGTGCTACCGAGTAAACACTCTTGGTCTATATGTGGAAGCTAACAGACAGGTGGGTCAAAAAAGCAATATTCAGTATAATGGTGTGAACATCTGTATACTTGGTTGCCACTTAAAACAAATTTTGAGATACTTAATAACTTGAGGGAGGAAAAATGCATGGTCACAAGAATCTGACATGGACAGTTATTCTGTAGTCATGAATGTGCAAGCCAAAGGCATTAATATATTACTTGCCACCAATAAGAGCAGTTGGAGAGGGAGGGAAGTTTGATAGTCAACTATTGCTTCCAAAGCCCTGCCAGCTCATCCCAACCCAGATGTATACTGGGTTTGTTTTGTTTTGTTTAAAAATCTTCCTCATTGCAACCGAAGGTAAGTACTGTGCAGAAATAGATCCTGAATGGATCCAAAGCTATCACTGGTAAAGACACTTCACGTAATAGTTCTAAACCTGTAGAACTTTCCATTAGTGGAAGTATGGCCTCTGCTGGTGAAGTTCATTTTCACCAGAATGATGGAACTCCATCCTAAACTACCCTATTTTGATTATCCATCCAGAAACTGATATTATTAATTCTTCCATCTGTGTGTGTACATACAATCTGTCTCAAATCTCAACTTACTTCCACTATTGTTTTAACTCATAGATTTCAGATGTAGGTTTTTAAAAAAAGGTATCAAGATATTATTGATTGGTTCAATGGGAGGAGTTTGAAGCCAAGCTTCTGTATCTTGGTTGCATTACACAGGAGGAGGATACTGAATGGGCAAATGTGGCACATGTTTTGAAGGGATACTGTTTTTTTATGGGTAGACACAAGTATTGCTCAGAAAATTGTTCTGCCCTGTGAGAGAAGAGGCTAGCTGGGGCCTGTGCTGTGGCATAGTTAAAATGGTAGACAGAAGATCCCATTAGTAGCAGTATTTGAGCTACAGGAGTTGAAAAATGAAAGGAGGTATATGTGTTTGAAAGCCTGTTAAAGAAACTATGAGGCTGAACTAAGCCTGAAACTGTATTTTTCCTCTGCCATTCTGATACTTGTCTCCCCCAAGTCTTCCAGTTTTAGTACATGTTGTGTTTTTCTCTTTCTGCATATTTTCTTTTGTTTTGCCACTCTGCTGTTGTAGTATGTAAGATTCCTTTAACCACTGTAATTGACTCAACAGTCAGCCAATTTAACCAGATGCCATAGAATACATGTCAGAGTGTAGGATTAATTTAGAAGCAGAATCCCAACCAGTAGCGTTATTCTCTTGAGCCTCTTTTACCCCTTGTACGCTGAATGTATACCATTTATTTGCACAGTGCATGGACATGATTGCAGTGACTCTTCTATCACTTCTTTGCATGGGAAAGAGACAGGATTGGCACTAACTTCTCCATGTGAATGCGCACTATGAAACACATACATATACCAGTGTGACAGTGAGAATACACATTTTGTCAGGAATTTGTAAAACAGCTGCTAATGCTTCAGCAGCAGGAGCAGAACAGCAGTTTACCTCCCTGCCCTTGTAGTCAGGAAATGTCTTACTTGATTCAGTTGACCTCTTAAGTTTGCTGCTGCCTTTGTGTGGGCAGGTGGTAGCAGGAGGGAGTTGTTCTGAGAAAAGGAAGTGGGTTTTTTTTCAGGGGAAAAATGCCTAAAAGCTTAAGCTAAGATATTCTCTGAAAATCCTACTTTCTTTCCTCTCTCATTTTTCTTTGTGTATTAACTGCTTCACTCTCTCTCTACAGCTGCTTATGCTGTAGTACGCTTCAGTTAATATGTGCCTTGAGTATATTTGTGAACTATTCTTTATGCATTTTGCTAGCTTCAGCCAAGACTGTTGTGAAAAGAAAACTCTCTTATATTCTTGCATATTTTTATGAACCTTCTAGAACTGAAGTATGTGCACCATCGGTTTAACCTGACTATCCTGATATTCTTGTATCTCCTTTCCTGCTGATTATGGCTTATCCTGTAACCCTTGGAATAACTTCTTTAGTAGCTTAATATAGCACATTAAAAACCTAGGTCTGTTGTTTAGCTCTTACAACAATAGTGCAGGTATAAAGAATATGTAAAGAATAACAAATGCAGTAAGGAACTTCCAATAATCTGAAACATTTGGCTCTCATTTTGCTAGTACAAAGCTTCTATCACTTCCAAAAACCCCATTTTAACCTTCCATAAATATCAAATCCAAGTCCAGTATTTGGATACTACTTGCACAAGTATTTGCATATCTCGTTACAGTTTTGTTAAGAATAGAGTTTGCTGGCAGTACTGTACTGTGTTTCCCCAAAAATATGACAGGGTCTTACATTAATTTTTGCTCCAAAAAACACATTAGGGCTTATTTTCAGGGGACTTTTTTCATGTACAACAATCTACATTTATTCAAATGCAATCACGTCATCTTCTTCTGCACAATGGTGGAGGGTGGGGTTTCACTTAACTAGGGCTTATATTTGGGGTAGGGCTTATATTACGAGCATCTTGAAAAATCATACTAGGGCTTATTTTCTGTGACTGATTTCTTGATTAAAATATAGGGAGCAGAACTTGCATAAGAAATGATTACTTTAACAGATCTGTTTTGTCTCTGAAACAATATTGAATGTTTCTTTTCACAAGTGTGTTTCTGACTGTTGTCCTTTCTATTCTTGCTTTAGATATTCCAAACAAATACCAAGTAGGCACAGTACAATACTTTAAGTTGCATTATTGAATGTGTACATAATTCGAAGCTCTACAGAAATATTAGGTAATAAGAAAGCAACTTTTGAGGACAATTCTGAGTGGACAAACTATAGGAAAGATTTAATCAGTTCCTCCCCTTTTTGCCCCATGGCCCCATATGCCACGTTTTAAGCTTCTGCAATCGTTTTTTGCTGTTGTTATATCCTGTTCTGTTTTTATTTTATTTAAAAATTATCCCACGTTTCTCCTAAAAAGGACTCAAGGTGGCTTACAGAATTAAAAACACAATATTAAAAGCTACAGACAATAAATTATTCAAATATTTAAAAAGAATTAATAACATGTTATTAAAAATGTTAGTTAAAACATTACTAAAAACAGATGTAGGAGCAACAAAACACAAACCATTTTAAAACCTCTCCTAGAAAGTCAGTCACTAAAGAAAGGCCTGGCTGAAGGGAAAGGTCTTCTCATGCTTGTGGGAACACAGCAAAGATGGGGTCAGCCTGGCCTCCTGTGGGAAGGGGTTTCAAAGTCTGGAAACAGTGATAGAGAAGGTCCTCTCCTGTGTCCCCAACAAATACACCTGTGCTACACGCGTTTTTAAAGCAAGAGGGTGAAAGAAGCTGAGAACCATTGATTGCTTATGATTTTACCATGAACTAAGGTTTGAATCCAGAAGTGTGAACTCAAAATCGCTGTCTTGTTATCAGATCTTAGAAAATACCATGCTGAATGACAGTTCTCAGGATTCCCCAGCCAGCATATATAGTATCCATGTTGACTTTGATATTCTGAGAGTTAGAGTTAGAGTCTAGAAGAGTAACTTTCCCAAACTCTGTTTAAAAGATATACTGCTAATTGTACTGCTGACTACCATGTGGAGTTCAGTTTAGTGTTAACTATGTAAAGGATATGCAGGAGGAGAAGGGGACGACAGAGGATGAGATGGTTGGACAGTGTCATTGAAGCTACCAACGTGAATCTGACCCAACTCCGGGAGGCAATGGAAGACAGGAGGGCCTGGTGTGCTCTGGTCCATGGGGTCACAAAGAGTCAGACACGACTAAAAAACAACATGTAAAGGATTGCATGTTGTTGTTTTGCACAGTTTTTGAATACCTAGATTATTTTCAAGACATGGCATAGGCTATATATTCATCCATCCAGTTCATCTTTATAGTTGTATGTTTTAATCACTTGAAGATAATTTATAAATATCTACAGTTTATAAATTATATAAAGACATTTACAGATATCTTATTTTATATAATACTAACTACAGTAAGTATGGGGACATGGTGGAGCTGCGGGTTAAACCGCAAAGCCTCTGGGCTGCAAGGTCGTAAGATCAGCTGTTCAAATCCACGTGACGGAGCGAGCTCCCATCACTTGTCCCAGCTCCTGCCAACCTAGCACTTTGAAAGCATGTAAATGCAAGTAGATAAATAGGTATCACTACGGTGAGAAGGTAACGGTGTTTGGTAACGGTGTCTGGCTGCGCTGGCCACGTGGCCACGGAAACTGTCTACGGACAAATGCTGGCTCTACAGCTTCGAAACGGGGATGAGCTCCTCCCCCTAGAGTTGGACAATTGTCAAGGGGAACCTTTACCTTTATCTTTTTAACTACAGTATACATTGAGAGTGGTGAAAATTATATACAATCTAACAATGTGTAGCAGCATGTTTGCCTATTAACTTGTGACTATGAATTTCATCTTCCAGGTTCCAAAGATGCTTTCTTTACTTTGTCCAGAAGACCCTCTGGTTCACAGTAGCGCCCAAATCGTTGACAAATGCTTGGTGAGTGACAACAACTGCACATATGGGAAGGTGGAACAAAAAGGGGAAGGGCACTTTTTGCATAATTTAATTCCATAGTAAATGTGTAGAAAGTTGTTAGATGTCCCATTGAGATGGTCATATGTTGGCTGACAAGCTGAGATATGAATGACCCTTGTGCTCTTGCATGGTTTCACTTCCCTTCTCCCTTCTCATTGGGTCAAATGCAGTACAGAAGTTTTCAAACAGCTATAGTTTCCTGTTTTGTCTGAACCAACCAAACTATAGTCAGTACCATAAGAACAAGCCGAGACCTCAAGTACCTTCAAACACTTGTTTAAGATGCTGGCTTGTTTCCAACCTAGTAACTGTATTTCTCTGTTTCAGACAAAATATGAAACTGTGATTACTGAGAGGTGTCTGTATTGCATCCAGGTATGCAGAGAAAAGATGTGACAGATTTTGAGAGCATGAGATTCCCAACAAGTGCCTGAATCAGATCAGAGTATGTCCATCTTCCAAAGTGTTTTAGTCAAATCATTACAAATATCTTCTGAGAGAGAGATGGATGGCTATATCCTGCTGTCTTGTTTCTCTGTTTTCTCACAGCTTTCAGTGATGTAGCCAGAGATCTTCATCATTTGAATACAGTTACTCCAATATGGTACCTGTAAGGCACACCTACACACAAATCTGTATACATAGTTCTGATTGAGCAGTGACTGTATTATAATCTTCTGATGATTTGTTTGAATTTTGATGTGTTTTCCAGTACTGAAGAGGAATAGGCAGACCTCTAAGGCATTGCTTTTCAGCAATACTCTGTTTGATTTTGCTTAAGTTTACCTGAGTATTTTTGCTTAAGTTTACCTGAGTGCTACTTAGCTAAGCAGCCCAGGAAGAGGTTACAGGAAGACTGCTTAATATTCTACCATTTTGACTGTGTTTTCCTTTTGTTTTTCACTAGGTTGGATCTGATAGCATTGTTGGCACAGGTACACAAGTGGGAGAAAAGACTTCAGTTAAACATTCTGTGATTGGTACTGCATGCGTAATCAAAGACAAAGTGAAAATTACGAACTGCATCATAATGAACTCTGTTAGAATAGAAGAAGGGTAGGTTATCTTCTCAAAGTAATCTGTGTTTTCATGTTTTCATTTTTAATATTGAGCCATCAGTGTCTAGTGGTGTAAGAATATCCCAAGTACAGTTGATCTTGGTTGAAACCTCCTGCTTCATCTCCAGACTGGAAGGCAGTCTGGTAATGAGAAATAATTGTCAAACTGCACGGATAATGATTCTAATACACTGGTTAGGTGAAACTAATGATGGGAAAGATTCTCATGTGGACATATAGTAATATTGGTAAGCTTTAAAAAAAGATTATTTCATGCAGAAGGATTGGATTTAACACCAGGTTTAAGATATGGATTCAGAAAGTTACAGGGGCTTGACTTAACATCTGTTCTGGATAAATGAGTGGGGATCATTATTAATGGCATGGAAGTCAGATCTTGCTGAAGGAGAATCAGTATGGCATCCATAAATTCTTATCTCACTAGCCCTTGGGAATTCTTTGAGAATATCGACAGGTGTGTAGATAGCAATAATCCATCAAATGTAGCTTGCTTGAATGCTCAAAATGCTTTGGTTCAAAATTGACAAGTGCATTCATGAGGTCAAAACTGGTAATAATTAGCCAAGAAAGGACTTTTGGATTGTGGCAGATAGCTCGATCCTCTGTGCAGCTACTATGAAAAAGACAGATTCCATGAAGGGAAGATTTTGAAAGAAACCTAAAATTAAACTGTCAAAATGGCCTTATACAAAACTATCTGATGGCTTCTGTTGCAGTACTCTGGACCATCCTGGTAATCCTTCATCAAAAAGGATATTTTATAGCTGGAAAACGTGCAGAAACAAGTAGCCAAAATCATCAAGGGGTTGCAGCAGTTCCCTTATAAGGAAAGCTTACAATGTTTGGAATAGAGCACTCACTCTGAAGAATACACAAACATTGAATAGAAGTATCTCTTATTTGTTTCAGTGTGGCTCACACAGGTGATGTTCTCAGAAAGCTGCATTCTCTGTTTGTGGAGCTGGCAAGGGTTTTCCTCAGTAACTATTGATGCTCTGTTCTTTTAGTCCTACAGCACAGTTGTGTAATTTGAGTAAGAAGAATCACTACCTGAATAACTGTTGCTGTGTGAAGCTTCAACTTCCCTTTACTAGGCTGTTTCCTGTTAGTGTCAGTGAAGAGGAAACTTTCATTGACCCCTCCTACTTCAAGCCTTGAAGTTAGTTAATAGTCCTCATGGGAGTGGTGAGACCATGGAGAAATGGGAAGTTGACTTGTAGTCATGTGGTCAGATGGAGGAGAGGAAGAAAAAGATTTCAAATCTATGGACGACACTACATTTATAGGACTAAATTACAGGTGAGTTTGGCTCCCCGATGCCAAACTTGAGTCACTGGAAGCATGTCATAAATCAAAATCCCTTAGTGGCAGAAATAATAGCTAGTCTATAGTTCATTTGTAAATTGATCTCATACAATTTTGCTGTCTTGGTGAAACTGAATTACTGTTGATAAATAGCACTCCTATTCTGTAATGAGTTCTGTCTTTCAGAAAAAGAGCCTGTTGGTAAAAACAAAATGCTTAAGAGATAAGGAGAGTCAGTATAGAAAAAAGTATGTTTTAAAACAGTGTGTGCTTTCTAAACATAGAATTAACATCTGTCCTTTGGCAGAAGACAAATCTTAAGTGTATCAGGACTATTCAGGACTATTACGTACTTGAGTTACTGTCTTTTACTTCTTATGCTAAGGTATCCTTCACCAAGGCCAGCTTGAGACAAAGGACAAGGTAGGGCCCACTCATTCCACATACAAAATCTGGCTAGCCTGACAGCTGATAAAAAGACAGCATCTTCCAGTTTACCTGAGGATAGCAAGTTAGCTAATGGGGCTCACAGCAGGCTATGTGACTTACACAATTCTGTTTTCCAGCAGCTTGAAAATACTCTTTAACCACACCATCAGAGGTTAAAATTCATCTATCATGCAGGGAATAAGAAATTCAGTTTCATATATGAAAGACAGTCTTCTCCATAGAGTTCTGGTTCCTCATCATGATCTCTGTGTGTCGCACAATTGGGTTCTGCACACCTGCACAGACACTCCCCACAGAACCTTGAAGAGCTTTAGCCTTTCCATTTCCTTCTGACTCTTATCTTCTCCCTAAAGTTATGATTAGCTCATTTTCTCAATCGATGTTCAGAATATATAATTTAAAAATATAGAAGCATTTGGAACATGCAGCAAAGCAGAATCTTTTTATGTTGTTTGTTTGTTTAACCATAGTGCAATGCTAAAAGGATTATTTTCTGTTTCTCCATAATTATTAAACATATTATTATATGTCTGACTTATTTGGGTGGAGGTGAACACAAAGAATTAATGAAAGAATCTTTGGTTTTTTGTTTTTTTGTTTAGTGATCATGGAGCCCAAGAAAGTAAAATTTGTCACTGCCTCCATATCTTCCCCTTCTATTTGCCAGGAGATGATGGCCATGGTCTTTGTTTTTTTTTTTTTTTTTTTTTTTGCTGTTGAGCTTCAGACAATTTTTTACGCTCTCCTCTTTCACCCTCATTAAGAGGTCTGCCATCAGAGTGGTATCATCTGCATATATGAGGTTGTTGATATTTCTTCCGGCAATCTTAATTTCGGTTTGGGATTCTTCCAGTCCAGCCTTTCACATGATGTATTCTGCATATAAGTTAAATAAGCAGGGAGACAATATACAGCCTTGTGTCCTCCTTTCCCAATTTTGAACCACTCAGTTGTTCCATATCCAGTTCTAACTGTTGCTTCCTGTCCCATATATAGGTTTCTCAGGAGATAGATAAGGTGGTCAGGCACTCCCATTTCTTTAAGGACTTGCATTCAAGAGAAACTTAGACAACCACCTGGCAGATATCCTTTGATTTGTATTCCTGCATTGAGCAGGGAGTTGAACTTGATGGCCTTATACGTCCCTTCCAACTTCACTATTCTATGATTCTAAGGAATCCTTCAAACTGTTTAGCAGCTGGAAATGAGCATTGGCTTTCTTTCTTCGGGTGTGAAGTGTCCCTAGATTAAGAGGTGATATGCCTCTGCATGTTTGATACTTCCAGAATCCTCTGTTTTATGTGGTTGCATAAATGTAATGGCACAATTGGAGTGAGCTTTTTGGTGGGTTGACCCCTATCTTTCTTATTGTGAAATTGACCATGCAACAGGCAGTCTCAGAAGATGCAAAGACTACTTCCACAAATGTTTTTATTTCTATGGGAAACTTTAGTATGATTCTGTCCTGTTTTTAGTTTTCTTGCGCCGCAAGCAGTGATGGTCTCTGGCAACAACTGAAGGCAGAAAGTTGACTAGTATTCCTCCTGTAGTTGGATCCTTTCTGCTCCCTCTGATTCATATGTAACAAATTAAAGGGTATGGGTTACATTGGGCATTGATCATAGTTGTACTAGTGTGGCTTGTTCAGGATGTTGGTGCTTAAATAACCAGAATCCCTGCACTGGAGCCAGTGCAACCAAATAGAGCCAATTCTTCATCCTCCCAAATATCACGGAGACTGGGTTTTTTTTTAATTATTAGCATAGATCAGAAGGATCTGTGCATAGCAGTAGAAAGATTGGAAAACTTCATTAGTAGGAGCTCGGCAGCAAGATGTTATTAGTAGTCGTTAGTCCATCTATTGCCTTCTTTCAGTATAGTGAGTGAGCTTTCATTATTTGGAGCATAAAAAAGGTCCACTTCTAAAGTGCAACTATGAGCTCTTGAAACCAAATTGATGTAATGGCATGGGAGCAGATCTGCATATTTAAATCTGAATTTTCTGCATATGCCTAGAAAGTGGGGAATAGCAACTCAGTTTCAAGAGCAAATAATGTATGTGGATGCATTTTCTCTCATTCTAGGGCTTAAGTCCCTGCAGACCCTCTGCCTGAGTGCCCTTCTTTTAGGTGAGCTCACTTCTATGACTGGAGCCCTGGTTGGCAGAAGGAGGTCTCAGAAGGGAGGATGTGGCTGGTGGAGAATTCTACTGTAATGGCTTGTTAACCATTTTTGCTCCTTAAATCAGGCCCACACTCACCCATCCTCATTCTACAGATCCATGGCTGTGCAGACATGATTTAGCTAATGTCTAGTTTTGCTATGAAAATGAAAATGTTTGCTCAATGAAAGATTATTTCTCAGTATTTTTATTTCATTTTATTTTATTTAAACTTCATTTTTATGTCATCCAATAATCAAAGCTCTTTGGGTGGTTCATAGCCATGGCATTATATTGGAACTTGTTATAATACGACGGGGTGCTGATAAGTATTGAGCCTTTCCCAGAAAAAAATGAGCTAGGAAGCTATAAGGTGTATTGGCCACTTTGTCTGTATTCAATGGTGCAAAAATCAGCTACCTATGATTTTAACTTATCTAGCCGCCTAGAGTGGTCTTAATCGACTAGATAGGCGGGATATAAATAAAATAAATAATAAATAAATAAATAACTAATCTTTCATGTTCAGGTCCAGAGCCTTTCCCAGAAAAAAATGAGCTAGGAAGCTATAAGGTGTATTGGCCACTTTGTCTGTATTCAATGGTGCAAAAATCAGCTACCTATGATTTTAACTTATCTAGCCGCCTAGAGTGGTCTTAATCGACTAGATAGGCGGGATATAAATAAAATAAATAATAAATAAATAAATAACTAATCTTTCATGTTCAGGTCCAAAAGTGAACATGGCAGCACCTCCAGAAGAGTTCAAATGTGGAATAGCATAGGACCAGAATCAAATTCCTGTTTCTCCAAGGGAAAGGTGCAAAGCAGATCCATGATGAAATGTCACAAACTATGGGTGACAGTGGCCCTTCATATGCAACAGTTAAACTTTGGGTTGTCAATTTTAAAACTGACAATTTCGGTGTTGAAATTGAGAAACCCAGTGGAAGGCCTGTTTCTGTCTCTGTGCCTGCAAATGTGAAA